CCACATCAGTAGAAAATGCTGCACCCTGAACATTTTCTGCTTCTGCCTACCATGAAATGTGGTGACAGTTGTCTCACATTCCTGGTGACACAGACTGAACTGCTCTGCCATGCCTTCCCTGCCATGATGGACTAAAGTCCCCCGAGCTGTAGGCCAGACAGACTTCTCCTCCCTTACTTCAGTTGCCTCTGTCAAGTGCTCTGCCTTGCTGATGAGAAAGGTCAGTGCTCCAGCTCACTTAGTCTGTAGGGTTAGATTCTCTGTGTACTCCTGATAGACTTCATACACACCCCCAGTCTGAGATCAAAGCAAGTCTACTTCCTTTGATCCTTTTTGTTCTTTATAAGGCTTCGCGTTGGTAGAGTTACTAGTACAACATTATATGAAAATAGTTGAAAGTGGTTTTACCCTCAATTATAGATGGAAAACATCCACTTTCACCATTAATAAACATTGCATTTGTTGGGAGGTTTCTATAGCCCAGCAATATAAGCATATTAGTTTATATTCTAAAGTTATTGAGACTTTCACATTGAATGAGTATTGAATTTTGTCATGTTTGTCCAGCTTGTAATTTTCTATTCATTTTCTTGTTGCTCTTTTAATATGGCAAATTGTATTAGAATTTACATAAAATCAAATTTTGATATATATTTTTATATGCTTTATAAATTGTTGACATTGATCTGACGATATTTATTTTGACCATCATGTCCATATTCATGAGGGATGTTGCTCTGTGGATTTTGTTGTCTTACAATGTGGGCTCTGGGGCCTGGAGAGGTGACCCATTTGGTAAAGTGCCTTCCTCAAAAGCACAAGGACGTTAGCTTGAACCCCTCAGAACCCACATGGAGGCTGAGAGTAGTAGTGCATTCCTATAGCCCACATGGGATGAGAAGATGAAGAAAGTTGAATCTGTGGTGCTCATTGGCCAGAGAGCCTAGCTGAACTGATGAACTTCAGGTCTGATGAGAGACCTTGTTTCTAAAAGTAAAGGTAGAACACAAGCAAGAATAGACACCAGCGGTGACCTCGGACCCTTACGGGAAAGCACATCATATTCCTATGTACATACCCCACTGACAAGAACGAAATACCACTCACACATACATGCACACGTGTGCATGCGCATGGACGCATATGTACACACACACACACACACACACACACACACACACACACACACACACACACACGCTCATGCACACACTGGGTATTTTGGGCCTGATTTTTTTTTCTATATGTCTGAGTGTTGCCCCTGACAACATCCTGTCCTATGTTGCTTTGACAATCTGGTACCTTGTGTTCACAGTTTTTGTCAAGAAGGACAGGCTAGAGGGGCATGAACTCAAGCTACTTAGATTTAGCAGAGACTTGTATGCTTTAAATATATGAAATATAGACTAAATCTAATCTTTCTTTTTCCTTTTCTCTCTCTTTTCTTCTTATCTTCCTCTTCTTCCTCTCTCTCTTTCTCTCTCTCTTGACTAAATCTTTCTTAAGTAGTTAGTCCCAGATATTTTGTCACAGGGCAAAACTCTGATCCACACAATCTGCTTACATGGTCACCTAGCCACATGGACAATGCCAGCGAAAAGAAGAGGCAGAATTTGGGAAGGAACTAACCATACTGTCTCGAATATAATTTTCTAGATATGTTACTGGGATTGCCTCCCAGCTGTCATAGCTTAATGAATTGTTCTTTGCATTCCTGGGAGATGGGAGAATTGGAGAGTGGTGACCAAGAATCCAGACACCCTGCCAAGTAGACAGTAGGAGACGGGTTGCCCAATTTTTCATCTGCTTCCTTCACATTATCAAAGATCCTGCTGGTGATCCACCTCTTTGGATTTGTCACCGAGGAATCAGTGGCCTTATTTTCAAAATGGCTGTAGGCCATGTTATAGTTTCCCTGATTTCAAATCACGTATTAGCCTTGTAACATGCATGCCAGGGGTCGTTAATTTCACCGGGAGAGGCTGAACAGGGGCAGAGAAACCCCATGATAGCAACTGCTGACGGGAGCTTTGGAGAACAGAAGCATTTGGAGTTAGTTATTCTCCTAGCAATGAGGGCGGGAGGTGGGAGAGCAGACATTCAATCAGTGAGTAATTGCAGAACCTCTTACTGGGGAGTCTGTATCTATCCCCGCTTTCCTGTGGGGGCTGCACCTCAGCCGAGGGACCTTGTGAAACCAGTCAGGGTTTGTCATTCTCAGTGGCCCTTGTGTCATTTGGAGTGAACCGTGGTTGCTTGCGGTGGACACAGGCCGCTATGAGCTGATCCGAATACCCAAGCCCCTTGCTGGGAGTTCCCACCACTGAACCCCTACCTTACTGTTTAAACTCCAGCCGGCCCGGAGGGGGCCCTTTCTGCGTTTGCTTCAGGCCCTTCTCTTCAGTTCTCACATGCCAGTTTCCTTCATTGTCGTTTAGGCCATCACTGCTCCAATTGTAATCTCTGACGTTTTCTCAAATCAGCATATGTTTTTCATGTCACTAATCTAATCATCCCCCCCCCCCGATTTTAATTTGTTAATTAAGAACAAATATATAAGCTTTCTGGATGCCAAAGTTTTAATATTTTTCTTTAGGATCCTATCCAGTCAAATACTTAAGGGCTCACCAATGATAGTACATTGAGTAAAATGACTAGAAATCTGGCGTCATTCTGCCCATGATGTGTGGATTTGAGGTCTGGCATCTCAGATGCATTAATAGTGTTTTACTTAGGCTTTAGTAAAAATATTGGTTGAATTAAAATATAACTTATTGCGTTTTTTATAGATTGCTACTTCTAGAAAAAGGCCTAGTCTTTACTCTTTTACATTTTCAAAATACCATGGTAAATAATGTCAGTAGTATTTCTCAGTTTTGACCCTATTTATATTATTTTGGGTCATTTAATTTGTGTGTGTATGTGTGTGTATGTGTATGTATGTGTGTGTGTGTGTGTGTGTGTGTTGTTCATATGTTAACACATGCTTACATGTGTGTAAACCCACACACATGCCAGTATGCATGCATATGTGTGTGTATGCTTGTGGAGGCTTCGCTCAACTCCCCACTTTATTTACTAAGACAGGGTGTCTTGCTGAACCCAGAGCTTACTGATTCGGCTAGTCTAACTGATCCCTTTGTTCCAAGAATCCCCTGTTTCTGCTTCCCGAGAGAGAGCTGGGATTACAGGCTACAAATGGGCCACCGACTTTTATGTGGGCACTAGAGATTCAAACTCCAGTCCTGTATTTGCACAGAGAGCACTCTTTTCACTAGGCCATGGAGACAGGCCTGTAGGATGTTTAAGTAGCATTCCTGACCTCTGCTCAGCGGGGGACAGATGGAATATGCCATATCTTCCCCCAAGTTGTGATAACTGAAAATGTCTCCAGACATCACCAAGTATCTCCTAGAGGATAAAATTGCTCCGGCTTGAGAACCACAGATGTAACTAATTTTCTCGTGGACCTCTCTAATACAAGGTTATATTTTGAAGTGGTAAATGAAATAGAGTTGACATCATGGGAATCTCATGGTTGCTTGTCCAACGCCATCAGCAAGCACTGTAATTAGCCCAGCATGGTCCACTGAACGGACAGCAGCATATGCTAAATATAAAAATAAAGTTAAGAGGCAATAAGGAGAGGGTCTATCTTTCCAGAATATTCTTAGAACTCCATCACTCTAGAGCAGCAGGAAGTGTTGAGGTGTTTCTCACGGTAAAGGGGCTGGCAAGAGCAAACCTTGTGAGTAGCTCCTGATGGATACAGATGAAGCCCAGTGAAAGCAGACCGACTGCTCCATGGTAAAAAGGAAGGCTAGAAAAGGAAACTGAGTCACCTGGAGTCTGACTTGAGGAAGACATGGGTGGTTTGCACGTGGAAAGGTAGTTGGGGAATAGTCTGTTAGGGAGATAGGCTTAGGTGTGCAAATGAACTTCTGTTGCTTCCTCCTCTGAAAAAAACTGAGGCGGATGCACTAAAAGCTCTGCTCCTGCAGGGTCACCTCTTCTGTCCCCAGGTCACTCTTGGGCATTGGTACAGTGACAGGCAACAGAAGAGCCCCAGTCCTTAAAACAGCTTGCCGTAAATGAACGGCTCTAATTTTAGGACAGGAGTGGTCCTAAGACATGAGGGTTCAAAGGTCATGGGAACCCATAAGACTCACTAATTAAGTTGGGCTGAAGAGGTGTGACGTCAGAATGGTGAGGAAATCGGAGTCCATTTTACAATTTGAACATGTTTGGATAAATTAGAGTTCTACCCCTTCATCGTTTTGCAGTAAGCTTCTATGCGAGACTCAGCACTGGTCTGCCGCTTTATCCTCTTCTTGGTTAAAGGAGACGGAGATCTCAGAAAGCTGGGATGTCCACCCTCACAGGATTACAGTCCCAGAGTTTGAGCCACACCGGTTATTCCCCCATGTTCTTGCCAAAAGCGTGTCGCAGAAGAGGTCTCTAGAGGCACCAAAGAAGCCAAAAAGGGAAAAATCTCCTAAAGGAAAATGACATTTAATTGGGAATTTTCAGAGATCTGTCACTCCCAGTGACAACCCAGGAAAAGAACTTTGCAGGTTTGTGACTGCAGGTGGCCTGCCACTAGCATCTGAAGTTAGCTGGGCTCCCTGCAGGGAAGGCCTTTGGGGACGGAGAGCAAGGGGCAGCTGCATTTGCACACAGCTCCCCCTACCCTCCGAATATCACATTAAAAAGAAAGAAAAAAAAAAAAAGCGCCGGCCCAAAACTGTAGTCTAAAATGCCATCAGTTTTCCAATTAAGATATCCGACTTGATAAGCCGAGGTATGGACTCATGCGAGGAAAAAATTACGGTGCTTGGGAGTTGTGAAAGAAATACTGTGCTGGGTGGATGCTAAGAACAAACAGTTTTATATCCCCTCGTCTTTCCGTGCAAATCCGTTTGGGGAAAGACTGCCCCCAGAGTAGCCTGCTTTTCATAAGCTTCCCAATCAGATTTCGGGGGCAAAGCACTCCCCCCTCCCTCGCACAGCCTGCTTCTCCCTGCCTGCTCCTCTCAACCCTCCCATTCTCCATTTCCCTCCCTGGCAGGGTGTAATTGAGTCAGGGCAGGATCAGGTTCCCCGCCTTCCCGTCCAAAAATCCCGCCAAGGAAGCCCCAGAGCATAAGAAAATCCAAAGTAGAGAGAGGGGAAGAAAGAAAGCACCGAGTCATCCATCCAGAAGGGGGGGAGAGCGCAGCCGCCCAGGCAGAAGCAGCATCCAGCAGTACCTGGAGTCCGCTGCAGAAACCTCGCCCGCACGGTGCAACAAAGGCAGCCTGCTAGTCAGCGAGGACCTCTGCAAGCCAAAGTAAGTGCAAAGCACCCCGTGGATTTCTCCAAAGGGTCTCTGGTGAAGTGTGCCTACCCCTAGGCCACTTTCCGGGCAGTCCGCAGTCTATGGGGGTTGGAGCAGGAGAGAAGCTGCCTGGAGTCGGCTAGTAGGGCTGATTTTCAAAACGGACTTGCTCCTGAAGGCAAACCAAGCCAGGGAAAATTGGGGGGATGAATTCGGTCAGTTAGGGTGTGCTCGAATGAGAAGAAGGGAGGCAGCTTTTGTTTTGTGGAGAGTGCATGGGGACGGGATTCCTGCTACCTGCTGGAGCATGCAAAGCGCGGGAGAGGACACATTTGTGCTCTTTGTAAAACCTGGAGCTCTGGTGGGTGTGTCTGGCCCAGCAGAGAGAGAGAGAGAGAGAGAGAGAGAGAGAGAGAGAGAGAGAGAGAGAGAGAGGCTGCAGCAGGCAGGTCTCATTTTCCTACCTCCACTTCTCAGGTGGCCTCAGAGCTTGCCAATTGCCAGCTGCTGCCGCTCTAGGTGTGGTACATGCTTGGCGGCCTGCCCCTCCTGCCTGCCCGCAGAAAAGCTTCTCTCCAGGATGTACTCCCTATCCTGCCTGCCAGCTCAGGAATGGTTCTAGTCACAGTTCCGGCCAAAGTTTCAAAGACATGCTTTGAATTCTACCTTATCTTGGGGAGCCAATTATTCTAACGGACTGGCACATAAGCACTTACATTTTCAATTTCATCCAAATTAACCAGGAATGTGGTAAAGACTCGTTTGGCAAATACCCAGAATTTCTGAGGTGATATTTCAATTAAGTTATCATACTATGTTTTGAGAAGAACGTATTCACCTCCTTTGTGCATAAAACACGGCCTTTCCTCTCCTCTTACACACGCGTGTGCGCGCACACACTTCTATTGGCTATGATGTGGCACGGAAATGTAAGAGCACACTTTTGGTTTACATGGAGAGCTAACTCATTCCTGTCTCCCCTTTTACAGGGACTTTAGAGGTGTCTGGGCAGAGTGAGGCCATGGAAACAGAGTGGGTGGTTCCTGAAAGCAGGCGATGCACACTTTGGGGGAGAAGGAAGTAAGAAAGTTCTCGCTTTGTTCAGCACTTTTTCTCCTGGGACTGCCAGAAGTTTTTTGTTTTTTTTTTTGTTTTTTTTTTTTTCCTTTCTCCAGTAGTTTAAGAAAGTGTATGAGTGTGTGTGTGTGTGTGTGTGTGTGTGTGTGTGTGTGTGTGTGTACAAGCATGCGCACGCGTTGGAGGAAAGGGCCTGGGAGGCACTTCAGGAACTACCCAAGAAAAGCTTTTGAACTAACACCATAATGGAGCAATTTCATGATCCCAGGCAAATGTGGAACTGATGAGACAGCGGAGCTGCTCTAGCCCTTTCATCGTCTGGGAATGAATTGTTTTGTGGGAATATTAAAAGGTAATGAGAATGAAACAGAAGAGAAGTCGGCCAACACAGAACAGAAGGCTGGTGCTTTCCGGATTCATTACGTCCCCTTTAAAGTAAATTATGTGCCTGCCAGGCCAAGTCATTAGAAACACTTACAGTCCAGTTAAACTCGAGGGAAGTTAGGGTAAGTGTTGTCCCCGCTCCTCTTTGAGACCCGAGTTATTTCAGACTGGCAGCAGTGGTTGTTTGCCATGGAAATTAGAGGATGAGATTTTCAAATCGTTTTATTTTAAAACCACAACACCATTCTTTTGAACTATAAGAAACTTTAAAATTTAAATTCTCTGACTAGAATTGAAGTCTTTAGAAGAAGGCAATCTTTCTCCAGCTGCTCACACACCCAGGTCAAGACAGCTTTCTCATTTGGTGAACTGCCTGTATATGCACACATGCGCACATGCGCACACATGCACACATGTGCACACACACGCCTTTCTTGCCCCCACCCCTCCCATATACAAACTGTAGCCCCTCTAGGTTCTGGATTCTAGCTGTTTGTGGCTCAAACACTTTATGCCCTCAAAGGCAGAGTTGTGAGAGAGACAGACTTACTGTTTACATGATGTTTTCACCCTCTGACTTCTAGGCGATATCCCACAGGGATGAGAATAGAATATATTTGACTGCATATTATATTGTGTTGTGTATACTATATAATATAAAATTGTCTGTCTTCCTGGACCGCTTTCTATAACACTGGGAACCAAAAACAAACTCATTTAGTGAAAGTTTTATTTTCGTGTTTCTCTTTTTACTTCTTCTTCTTCTTCTTTTTTTTTTTTTTTTTGAGACAAGGTTTCTCTGTATAGCCTTCGCTATCCTGGAACTTGCTCTGTATACTAGGCTGGCCTCAAACTTACAGAGGTCTATCTGCCTTCCTCAGAGGGCTAGGAGTAAAGGCGTGCACCACCACTGCCTGGCAGTTTTCATGTTTCTTATTTGGTCTTTACAAACAGCAATATGTAACAATATCTGATTTTTTTTTTCCTTAAAAGTTTTTTTTTTTTTCAATGCAGTGATCTGGTTTGCATTTTCACAAAACCTGGTCACTGAAAATAACACAAGACCCCTGAATAATTTGCAAAGTTAATCTCTTAGAGATGAAATATTTTAGGTTTAAAGTTTCTATTTTTTTTTTCATGGAAATACTCTTGGTTCCTCACTTTAGTGGCATTCCCACTCAGCATTTGTGGTGTGTTCCCTGGGACACTGAGTTTGCCTGATTTGTATGAAATGGTGCGATGTTAACAGTCGTTGGAGCCAGAATTATGGTTATAAATGGCAGCTGACAAACACTTATGTTCTTAATACGGCAGCATGCTAACAAGGGACTTGTCCTTGGCCCTTATACTGATGATAAGGCCCTGTTGAGACTGCTCAGAACAGCGGGACGGCGAGTGTGCTCCATGCCCGAGTTCCCCTGATTTACCTTGAAGCCTGCTTTACACTGGATCATCCAACATGGCAGAACCCTGTGCTGCTTCTGACCCAGGCCCTGTAGGTAAAGCTGAGCTGGATGAGGAATGGTTTCTCCTCTGAGGTCTGTCTAATGAACAAACGGAAGAGCTTTTGTGTCCTCTGGCACAGGCCACACTTTCTTCCTGGGAGTGAGGGTGAAGGAACACGTCGTCGATATGGGCCTCTTCTTTGGGAGCTGCGCCTGCTTTTTCCATCCCGGGAAAATTAAGGAGAATTTGGGCCTGGGCTTTTCGTTGGCAAGTCTTTCCATTCTTGGCGTTTATGGCCTGTCCAAGTTACCATTTGCTGGGCCTTTTTTTTTTTTTTCTAGGTGCTGCAAGCCAGACTTGTAGATAGTAGTCTGCATGCTGTTGTTACAATCTTTCTAGACCAATAACTATAACACGCCTTTTATGACAATGTAAGTACTTTTGGTTAAAAGGGTAGCTGTGAACAAACACTATTCGAGGAGATTGTGACTATGGTAGTACTTGTGGATTCGATCGTGCAACTCACACTCACCATAATTCCCCAAGGATTAAGGATAGGTAGGAATAATGTAACGTAGTCAATAGTTCATGCCTGAGATATTTTGAGTAATAAAATTTAATTTTTCTTAGTGTTCTTTGTGCTTAGAGTCATTTTATTATAGTGACCTTAAATAAAGTCCCATCTCAAATAGAAAAAAAAATACAGGTTTCCTAAGAGTAGAATTCTTAGACTCTTAAACTCCACAAATACAGCAATAACAACAAAAATTGACTACTTTGTATTAATTTTGAACAACACGAGTCCTGGTCACTGACCATCAGGGTCTAGTTTTGAGACTTTCTGGTAGTAAACTTCAAATCACAAATTGGCATGCTCTAGCCTTCTGTTCCCACACCCATTTGCTAAGCAGTGTTAACTGGCGAGACGCTTTATTAGAAATTCATGTAAAACAGATTCCAAGCAACCACAGTCCATTGTCCTCCCACCTGACTCTGGAGCAAACAATGCTTTCAAAGCCATAGGTGATTTCACCCAGTGGCAACTGGCCTTTCTTCCTTTGCTAAGTACGGGCACCAGCATTACCTGCTAGCCCTGCCCTCTTCTGCTCATCCTCCCTTGCAATCCCCATGATGTGTCCGTATCCAACTTCTCCCCCAACCTCTTTGGATACTTGGCTTTTCTTTGATTTCTCCCCCTCAGTTTCCAAATACGGACATTGACTTTAAAAATTTCTCTCTTCTCTCCTCTGTTCTTCCTTTCACTCCTGCTTCTAAATGTCCCAATGCTGATCCAGTCCCGCGATGTTCTTTACCCATTCCCCCTGCCTCACAACAAACATCACGTATTGCTCCTGATGCCCTCAGGCTTCCAGAGGAACCATCTCCAAGTCTCATTTACTGCTTTTATTTCAGGGGTTCTGTAGCCCTGCTGGTCCAGTCCTCATCACACTCCACCCTCCTTCTTCCTTTACATTGCCATGGTTTCTGACTCTTGACTACTTCTAGCACAGGGAGAGAATTCCTGCTCTTCTATAACAAACTCAATGTATTATTTTCATCACAACTCTATTCTAACAGTGAGGCCTTTGCTTCTCAGAGTTTCAAAATTTTACTTTCCCACTATATTTCTATAACAATTTATTCATGTAGGCTGAATAGGGTATGCTTAGAGAAAGCAATGTGGCTCCTTTCAAGAATGTACCTGCAATAGAACAAATATCTCCAACTCCCTAGTTTAGGTTTTTTTTCTGTATCACATGAGACCATCTCTCTTTTTGTTTAATTAATTGAATTTATTTCCCATTAGCCTCTCAAACCCAAAGTCCAATATATGTATATATATTCAATGTGTATCATATATGTGAATATATAACCTATATACTCTATATATGTGACATTATATGATGTATAGGACACACACACACACACACACACACACACACACACACACACACAGTGTGTGTGTATGGAGTCAAATAACCCAGAACAGTCCTTGTTTTCAGTTTTCATTGGATTAACTTGATGTGCGAGCATCCTGGTGCCTGGGGCACACCTCCAGAGTTTCTGTCTTAAGAAGTAGATTCATACAACCAGGGTATATGATA